ATAATTTATTTGTATTTTTCAACAGAAGGCCTAAAGGGGACATAGTAGATTTTGGTCATAGGTAAATATGCTCTAAGTTCTTAAAGAAGAATTTGTCTATTGTATTTGTTTTTCTGACTGTCTAATTGTTGTGCAGTCCAAACAATGTGAATTCGAAATCCTGTGATAACCAGAAAGTCACAAAACCTCGTTTCCCATCTCCCAAAAGGTACTCATCTTCCTCCCCCTGAATTAACCATGTGTTAAACTGCAGGCGTTCATTTGCATTGTTCTAATGTTATTTTTCCTATGTCTCCTTTGTATTGCTGCTGTTGCTAATGGCTCTTAGCCAGCCCAAATCTTACAATTACAAAGAGGTATTGTTAATTTGCCATCCATATGTTCCTCATAATTAAGTTCACTGATGCTATTACTATCTGTGACACTAACAAACTTCATCTCTCACAGGACCCTGATGAAGGTGATGACTACATTAATACCGCAGACCTCAACATCTATGGAAACATCTGAAAAACAAACAAAAAAAGAAGAAGAAAAAAAGCCAGCAATTAATGTTCTAATAAATTTAAATAAGTATAAAACAAATCTATGTGCACTCTTTATGATCACTTGTCCTTGGGATTTCTCATGCATGTTTCTTGTGATGATGTCTTCTGTCCATTAATTACTATAATCCTGTAATTTATGTTGTTTGGTGTAACAAATGCTTGTATCCATAATTCTGCAAAATAATATTTGTAAAAATGCTACTCATGTTTTGGCTGAATAAATCAACATGAACCTTTTTTTAACTGACTTGAATGCTGTTTTGTTTGGCCCCAGGGTTTGGCTGAGGGAGTCCCTTTTCAAATCATCACTGCTTTTGTATATATGTATATATATGTAATTTCACCATGATTTCATATTAAATTACCTAGATTTTATAATTCTTTTAATGTGCACATAGAAGGGAGCATAGCGAAAATTAATAAACAACAGTTGGCTGAAACAAGAGACACTGAATGCCTTGGTGAAAATGTCAAAGAATGAATCAAACAGTCTAAGAGAGGAGTGAATGTTAAAATAAGAATCAAATCTTAGAGATTAAAATGCAGATTGTATCAACTATCCCCCCCCCCCCCCAACAATTTCCAAACTAAGTTAAGCTAAACTAAACAGCTGCTGGCTCCAGTACTATATTTGTCTAACAGATAGGATAGTATTTAATTTTTTTTTGTCTTACTCTGGGAAGTGTTATGACAAGATAACTAACAAATGTAAGGTTCACCCACCCCCACCCCACCCCACCACACCCCACCACAACCACAAACACCAGCACAAAGAAAACAAAACTGACTTCTAAAAATTTATGATCTCTCTCAGTTCCTTCAGTGCAAGCATAAAATTAGCCACTTCCTCCAACAATTATGAGAAGTTCCTCAAGTTCCTCAAGAAGTTGGACTGACAAGTTTCACAAAGACAAGTCATACTTATCACCCTGAAGAGTTTAAAAGTGTAACTTATAAATTACTTATAAGTTACACTTATCGCATAAATCACACTTATCACACAAAGGGACATTTTGGGTTCTGGTCATATGTATTTATGAGCAAGAAAATTAAAAGACTTAATGTTTTTCTAACTGCACATTTGCACAATTGATTTTAAAAACCTTTTATCACAAGAAGGTCAGTGAGAAAGAGAACAAAGTGATAGTAACTGTAATTATTCAGTTATGCTTTTTTAAATTAAAATTAAACGCTTTTTAAATTCTGTTGTTTTGTTAAGAAAATAACTACAACTTTAATAGTTTATTCAACCTGACACACACCATTAGGTTTTAGAGCTTTTCCCCACTTGTGGGTGGAAAATCATAATCTCCGCCCACACTGGGTGCTTAAAAAGCTGCATTTTTAGTGTTACTTGTATCTTCATGACTATTCATCTGTGTTGGCAAGTAAATCACTATTTTTTTTTCTTTTTGCTGAAGTAATATCAACAGATGTTTTTTTATTAGACAAAATTTGTTCAGAAAAAGAATTGTAGTTTTAAAATGTAGCATTCTCCACTTCTCCATTTTACAAATGGGGGGGCGGGGGGGATTAATGTTATTTAAAGAAAAGTTTTTTCCCGTAGGATTGTTTATATATATAATAATTACCTTTTTTCTGGCGTGAAAACCTGTTCTGGTTTAATAGTCTTTCAGTCAGTAAGAAAGTGGGTTGGGTGCTGACTATATCCATAACGCTTTCCAAGTATTACCCTCTTAAAACCTATTAAAACTCTTTTTTGTTTAAGTGACCCTAGAAAACAATGCTGTACCTACTACAGTCTGGAAAACCTCTGTAACAGTACCGTTTATATATTACTCGAAGACACCACTGTACCCCGATGCATACAGTAGTAGGGATGGGACCATAATATAATAGAGATCAATCCCTTAATATTATATTATACTTAATTTTGGTGAAAATCAAGTGATGGTCAAGATCAAGGTAACACCAAACGTAAAAACTAGTAAAGACTTTATAATACATGTAATATCTTATGGATTGTCTTCAAATATAACAAGAAATACTAAGCCTAAGGGGTCATGAGTACGTGTATTGGCTAAGCATTTGATCTTGATCTTCATTGTTAGTGCCCAAGGTCAAAGTTGACCTTGAAAGATTTTTTTTTTCAAGAAACCACATCAAGTAATATATCACATGACAGAATGTGGAGAGAGTAGCACAACACACATTTTATTTTTTCAATATGATACCCTATGACTTCACAAAGACAACGTAACTGACTGATGTCATCATATTGTAATAAAAACAACATCATAAAATGTCAAGGTTTTAGTAAGTTTTAATTTCATATATTTGTTTCAGGAATGCTATACCATTAATAAGATGTCTGGGTCTGGACCATTTTTCCTGTGCATCTATAGCCTAGGTATGGTCATTTCAATATAT